AATTATATAGGAGATCCATGCACAGAACTGTAGACCAGTTAATTAAATGTATGAAAATCATGATCTTGTTACAACGTCAGTGCAGTTCAAATAATATTTTATCAAATGCATTGCCAAGTATACAACTTGGAAGTGCGATTAAATATTTAGATTAAAGGAATCAAATATAAAGAATTATTAATATTCACACGGAATGATAATGTGGTTTTATATTCTTGTATCAGCTCTATTCCATAACATTTCAATATTCACACAATATTCCAGTTTACTCGAGGCTTGTATTGCTTGCTGCTCAAAATATTTTACAATTTTTGTTTTAAAAGAAAAACATAATGTTTTCAAAGCACATCTGCAAAGCAGTGCCTTTGTTCAGGAATAAATATCATCTGTCATTAAATAAAAAATGATGCACTGTAAATATAACACCATGTAGAATGTTTGAAAGCATATATTGTCTTCCAGAAAGGCTAAAAGGGAAGAGTTTATTTTAACGATCTGCCTTTCAAAAAGACCAGCTGCCTCTGCATTTGGTGCCGATGTCTAATTTCACTGACCTTAACCTCTCATAAAAATCTTCCCTTCACATTAATCCAGCAGACATCAAAGAAACTGGCAAACAGACTAAAGTTGGTAGCAATTTTTTTCTGGAAAAAAACTTCAGGGATCTTATTAAGACCACCCACATTGTGCTTTTTTGGATACATTTCTAAATAGTATGTTTTGTTTGTTCAATATAATCAGGCCAGTCTGGAGTTCACATGGTTGGAAAATACAAGCATATCTATCAGGAAGCCTGACCAATATGTACGCTAGATTAAAAGGCAGAGATGGACGCAATATCCCTTGAAGTGGGCTTATGGGTCTTAATTATGATACAAACCAACAAGGGGAAAACCAGGAGTAGCTCAGCACTTCTACACACCAATGTTTTCCTCAAAGTAGTCACATTAACTTCCGCGTTTCATACCTAAGACAAAACCGTCAAGACTAATTTTTACAGGACAGGTAATTCAAAACATTGTGACACCTTTATCTAGTTGCCAGATATTATATTTTGAAAATTGCTCATGTCATAATTTTAACACTATTCGCTTAAACCTAAAGACTTTGCATAATTTGGGAAGTCTCAAATTCTATCTTAATGTGGATGCACACTAACATGCATATCCACAGAACATTTTGACTCAACAAAACATTAGTCTTTGTAGTTCGCATATATAATTGGTGGTGGTTGGAACTAAACAAATCACATATAAATCATATGATTCACAACCTCTAAACCCTCCTTAATCTGGGTATTGCTTCTTTTATCCTTTCTTAAGAGATCCATCCACAAACTCCATCGTGGAGTCCTGTAGCTCAGTGGTTAGAGCACTCGCTTTGCAAGTGAGAGACCTGAGTTCAATTCCAGGCAGAGGGCGAAACCTTGGGCAAGTTTCCTTACTCCACACGCCTAATAATAATCCCTCCAAATCCCAAAACAATAATAAATTGGTCATTTTCAATCTACGACTGTTTGTGGGACATTGCTGTGCGCAATTGGCTGCCGCGTTCGCCCACAAATATACAGTCAATTCACTTTACAGTGTGTTCTGTGAAGCGCTTTGGGACGTCCTCCTGACGTGAAAAGCGCTATATCAAATGCAAGGATTATTATTATTATTATTATTATTATTAAACTATTACCTGAAATGTTTCAGTGATTAAAGAGAGTGGCAGTGTTTTCACAGATACAGTAATTTAATATAGCACAAAAGGCAGTGCAATCCAAGGTCTGCTAATGAAAAAAATATGTGCAATTACAAACAAATATTTCAGCCCCAATATGTAGCATTCATTTCTATTTTAAGATTTATAATATTAAATCTACTTTCAAGTATAAATGTAGAATCCAGATTATATATTCAATGCCTAGTGAGTCCTGTTTGTAACCATGGAAACCTTATTGTTTTGTTATAACAGTTTGTTTAAAATGAACTTTCTTGGCATGCGTTCTGTCCATATTTTTATTAAATAGACGAGTGGCAGATCAATTGCCTCAAAATTCATAGTAATGTACAAATGAGAATTAGTAGGATTTCACCTTATTGAGAGCTGAGCTTCTCTGCGATGGATTCAAATTAAGATGCAACTGGGACTACTAATAAACTTAATTCTTGTAAGGTCTGATGTATGGAACTACAGTGTCAAAGACCTAAACAATGCATGATTTCTAAGGAAACAAAAATGAGAAGAAATTACAATTCTCTTATTAAATTCCCTTCTTTCTTTAATATCTATGCTATCCATTTTCATAAAAAATTAAATAGCACTGTGTTTGACAGGCCATAGTTTTAATCTTCTGCTAAATTCATGGTGTGTGTTGTAGTCTTCCATTTCTCCTTGAACCTGTGAAGACTAAAGGTTTTAAGCCTGAAATAAAAAGCCGCTGACAACAGCACAAGAGCCTTCAGCTATCTTCAGTTAAGATGTCATCACAAGATGATAATAATAATCCTTGCATTTGATATGGTGCCTTATTTGAATATGGAAGACCAGAACACTGGACTCATTTTTAAAAAAAAGCTTGATGCTGTGATGGGAGGTATTTTGGAAGGATAAGATCAGACGGGCCAAAGTGACTTCTTCATCCAAAATAATCTTGTGAATATTTCACAAACAACTGAAGGTCAGACACCACTGCCCTAAACTGTGAGCTCAAAGTCCCTAATGTGGGAGGTTGAGCCCACAAGCATCTGACTCAGAAGCGAGAGCACTACTGAATGATCTATGCTAACACCTAACAAACATGATGATCCACAGAACGCTATCACTTAGGCAACGCCCATAATTACTTGTTCACCTTTGAAATGTTAAGCATGCAAAAGTATATATTTACTGTTGATGCGGGTTATCTTTACTCAATTTAGAGACAGTTCACTGTAACATCAGCAGACTTTGACCACATTACTGAGGTGTTATACAGCAATGTAAGACCTAAAATTCCACCTGGTCAACCTGTGAGACTCCTTTGTCTTAAAATTAATAATGCACAAAGTTGTTGACATTTCTTAAATTCAGTCTTATTTTGAATGTAATTTGCTTCAGTTCTTCAAATTCCAAATTAAGACCGAAATTAATACATTTTCCATACAGTTTTGTATCATCTTCCATTTTTAAGATAAATTTATAAGACAAAGATTTGCTGAAATTTCCGGTCTATAGTATCAGTTTCAAGTAGGAGTGACCATTGGATCCATCCAGCCTCTCAATCCAACTGTCCAAAATGAATCATGCAACAGACCACCGGGACCGGCCTTCAGCCTCTCTGCCCCCAATCTTTGGAACTCCATCCCACAGTACCTTCGTCTGGTTCCCTCCCTTGCCTCCTTCAAGGCATGTCTGAAGACCCTCCTCTTCAGCCGAGCCTTCGGCTATCCTCTACCTTCCCTGATCCTAATTCCCCTGCTCGCATCAAAATTCCTGATTGTCCAACACCTTGGGACGTCCTCCCAACGTGAAAGGTGCTATATAAATATAATTTTGTATTGTAAGATGCGAAAGGCGCAATATCAAACGTAAGGATTATTATTATCATTTAAAGATATTCTGATCATGTATCTTTATCGCTTAGGCACCCAATTCAGTCAAGTGACTTCTCATGCATTATGTAAACAAGAATATCTTAATGAAGGCTGTGAGATATTTGGAAATAACCAGGATCCACTCTGCTGCTAGACTATAACCTCAGCTCTGGCTCATGTCCAGTAAACATTTCCCACACAAAGCTGATGGGAGTTCCATGTTTAGTAGGAGAACAAGTTTTAACATTTTCAGTGCGTGCAAATATTGTAGAGTCTCATTAATGCACTTTTAAAGCATTACCACAGGAATGTACACTTCTTTGCTTTTTCCTGTGAAACAAACCATGTTGCTTTATCGTCGAGTTGCATTACTAACACATTCAAAGGAAAATGTAAAGGTTAAAGGTCTTCCACTAAACAATGGACTGATAATTGTACAGTAGTTTCCTGGGTGCAGTTTATCTTACCTGGGCAGGAACTTCCTCTTAGTTTCTCCACTACAGCAATATCTGATATTGATGATAGACATATCTGATAGACGGATTACAAACTACCAAACCACAGGGCAAAGTCCACATACTTATCTGGTACATTCCCCATATCCACAAACTTTTAGGAATTTGTTGAAGGGTGTAACTGCTCTAAAATACAATTAAATTGTTTTGTTGCATTTGTAATTATTTTAAATGAGACAGTCAATGTTACAATATCTCAGATATAGAAGCATATTCTTCTATCTGTGCACTATCTAACATCTACTTACTCAAGACAGCTCCCCCACCTCCCGGCTTGGGTGCCCAGCCAGCACTTTGAGACATCCTCCTGATATGAATGGTGCCATATAAGTCTAAGCATCTGTTTTAACTGGCAGTGTATGAGCTGGAGATGCGATCAGGCACAAATACATTTGTAGCCAAGATAGTCAGTACCATTTTCCTAATTGCAGCAAAGTGTGGGCCTCAAAGATGTATATTAGAGCCTGGTATAATGTGATAGTGGAGGGGTGGAGGAGGCGGTGATGTTGCATAAAATCCCCAACAGTGTTATAATGGGGCACGATCTCCAGTCAGTCTCTTCACCTTCATTGTGCTTGTAGACAGACAGCCCCATCGTCACAATAACAAACAACGAATTGCATTCACGTCAGAAGGTCGTCGCGAGGTGCTGGTCACTTCATAATACCAGCTGGTGTATGGGAAGTATTAACAGTGACCTGATTATCTGGAATTTGTCAATTTGGACTTCCTATGCTCCAGCCAGTGTTATGAAGCACTAATGGAACCAGCAGATGGGCTTCGTCTATGTTTATTCTTAAGGATGTTTGTCAATAAGAAAGCACAAACTATTAGTCCAATTCTGTCATTTTACAGAGATTTAACATATTAGGACATTTCTAAGCATTTAGTTACAACAATCCTAAATAAAGTCAACACTTACCTGTTTTCTGGTTCATCGTGAAGAAACCTTGTGGGTTGCCACTAGTAATCTTGAAGATCAGCCTGTCACTGGAACTCGAATCTGGGTCAAATGCCTCAATCTGTACAACTGATGTGTCTTTGGGAGCATTTTCCATGACTTCTGGATAATAGACTGGCTCTGATGTCTGTGGAGCATTATCATTTACATCCTCAATCTTAATGTAGACTTCAATGAAGGAGAAGAGAGGCACGACTCCAAGGTCTGTGGCATAGACTGTCAGCCAGTAATGTGAAGTCGTTTCACGGTCCAGAAGCTCTGTAGTTTTTATTGTACCTGCGCAACCAACAGAGAAAAATGTTAGTCCCTTAATGTACTAAGCATAATAATTCAGTACCAATAATGATGCATCATGAAGAGATTTGAAGATATAATCTATCAATATTTATTAACACAATTTCTTAATAAGAAACTGGAATTGTACATGCAGGAACATCTTCCTGTAACTTGAAGTATGCCACAGAATCACAGGAATGCCGCTCTGATCCGATCTACCTCCAAACTGGAGTTCCCACTGGTAAATGGGAATTCTGACTTAAATGATCCAGTCAAAGAATACTGCAAATTAGATTTTACGGAAATACTGGATGCACATCTGGAAAAGCACATTCTGCCCCGTTTGACAAGTAGCAAAGTTTGAAAAATATTGAAGAACATTATACTTCTCTACCTGTCAATTGCTCATTTCACTAATATCAGTATATTAAACTCCACAAATTGACTTTTGTTGCTTTGTGCAGTTAATAATTTAAAACTTCATGTACACTGAAAATCATCATGTTTCAATCAATTAAAGTGCTTGAAAGCTGCAAAATAATCTCCCAAGATATGATGAGCAAAATCAACAGGTTTCACCCTGGCTATACAATAATCCAGATTGCAAAGGAAAAATTAACATGCTATCAATAACAGCTTGCACTTATATAGCACCCTCCACGCAGGATAGCATCTCAGAACACTTAACAGTGTCGGAGTCTGACTCCGAGCCGGGGGAGGGAGATGACCATAAACATGGTCGAAAAGGAAGGTTTTCAGGCGGGACTTTAAAAAGTGGAGAGAGGGAAGATTGAGGGAGAGTGTTCTACAATATCAGGACGTAGTGGCTGAAGGCATGAATGGTGCAGCAGAGGGTGCGAGGGACGAGTAGGAGGCCGGTGCCAGTCGAGCGGAGGCACCAGGTAGTGGATTGGGGAGTGAGGAGGTCGGACAGGTAGGGAGGTGCCAGGGAGTGAATCGATTTGAACACGAGTGTGAGGATCTTGAAGTCGATCTGTTCGGTGATAGGGAGCTAGTGGAGTCTGGCCAGAACTAGTGAGATGGGGTACAGTTTGATCCAAATAAGTATCCGGCCAGCAAAATTCTATCATTTAACTTGTGTTATTGGATTTTCCGTTAAGTAGAATATGTTTAGAAAGGTAAGAGCTTATGGAATCCAAATGTGAATCCACAGTAATGAATTATGAGGTCGTAAACTGAAACCATGGCAATAAAGTATTTATGTGCTGCTTAACTGTGCACTGGATAGATTGAATACTTAAAAATAAGTTTCTCGTAGTTTTAGCAGAAGTTATACACAGAAGCAGCTTCTCGAATATCTCAATGAATAAATGCATTGCCTGGTGTGGCAATCAGCTATTCAAGCCAAGCACACCCAAAAGATTTAATTTGTAGAATGGGCTGAATTAGCCGGTTTCAGTTAGAGCAACAGTAAGGTGCTGATATTGGCATCAGTATTCACGCTGGGCTAAGGAGAGAGAAAATTAACCACAGCTTTGGCATAATGGGGTTACGCTGAAGAATATTGAAGAACATTATACTTTTCTATCCCTCAATTGCACATTTTACTAACTGCAGTTTATCCATTTCCACAACTTGACTTTTGTTGCTTTGTGCAGTATATAATTTGAAACTATCTTGATAGCTGAAAATCATCATGTGTCGGTCGAATAAATAGCTTGAAAAATGCAAACTAATCTTCACGATATGATGATCAAAATATTTTGAAGATCACTACTTCAATGCCCGCCTCGCTGGTCTCCACAGCTCCACTATCCACAAAATCCAATTAATCTGGAACTTTGTAGCCTGCATACTCACCCACAGTAAACTCCATACCCCATCACACCAGTTCCTGCCAGGTTCCACTGGCCCTATCACCAAACACATCAATTTCATGATCCTCATATTTCTCTTCAAATCCCTTGATGCTTTGGCATCTCCCTAACCCCTCTCCGACCTACTTACTCCCCAAACCACTACCCTTCACCTCCACTCAACTGGCTCTGGCCTCCTGCTTGTCCCTTGTACCCTCTGTTCCACCATCAGAGGCTGGGCTTTCAATTGCTATACCCTAAAACTCTGAAACACTCTCGCTCAATCCCTCCACCTTGCCCATCATTAGGTCGCATGTGAAAACCTTCTTCTTCAGCCGTGCCTACTAGACAAACTCCACACCCTGGTTCGGTGTCGTGCTCCACCACTGTAAAGGGCTCTGAGACATTACCCTGCATGAGGGGCACTATATAAATATGTTTTTGTTGTACTCTGTATAAACAAAAGCGAAAGGGGTATTGACTACTTTCGATGTACAAATTATCTTACCAATATTTAGAAGCCTGATATAAAAAAAATCAAATGTGCCAAACAATAATGAAACACACCTTTTATTTCTACATGTATATGATGGGAGTTATATAAGAAAGTACAATTGTAAAAATACAAAATTCTATAGCCTGAAACCTATCAAAATTGCACCTCACCAGCAATCATTGTGAATGAAAGTCTCAGAAAGTCATACTCTTCAAGTTTTTGATTTCCATTTGATTTCAAGTGTGGTATTTGCAATTCTTATCCTTTATCCTTCGTCAAAAACTTTTTTCTTCTTTTTAATGTAGTGTCAATTCAGTGATATTTTATCCCACTGCCCCCTATTACTTCTACCTGTACTATACTGCACTGGCTATCTCTGCAACATAGCAATCAACTGACAGATGTCTGCACAGTAGTCTGCATGCTTTCTCTATCCAATTAACCATTGCTCACACAATATCCTCCAGTCCAACAATACCCTTCCTCACACTTTCTCCTCTACCTACAAGAAACATTCGCAATATACGATTCTTTAGCCGAAATCAAAGCCTGGATTTCACAATGGCAAGGAAGCCTAGTTTTGTTCACGTTGTCCTGGGAATTGCATGCGCATATAAAGGTTATTCTATAGCATGAAACATGATGTTTCAGATCTCCTTTCTAATGTAATTAATCAAAATGAAAACACAGAAAGAAAAACGAGTGACCATTTAAAGTTTAATTTAATGAGCCTGGAAATGCCATAGTCAGTATTCCACACTGACTATTTTATAATTCAAATGGGTAGAAACTATTCAGCCCCTTTGTTTGTTAACAAACACTATTCAGTTCAAAATAAATCTGTAAGATTTTCCATAAAGCTGTGATCTGTATTATATGACTGCTTGACTCAGTTGGTAGTGCTCTCGCCTCTGACCTAAGAGGTTGTGGGTTAAAGCCCCACATTGGGATTTGGAACTTGTACAGTCTACATCGACATTCCAATTGCTGTCCTCAGGATGAGACGTTAAACCGAGGCTCCATCTCCTCGTTCAGGGTACATGGCAAAGATCCCTTGGCGCTATCCAAAAAGAAAATTTTTCCTGGTGTCCTGGCCAACATTTCTCCCAAATAAGAACAGTCATCCACTTCATGACTGTTTGTGGGCATTGCTGTATACAAATTAGATGCCGCGTTCTCAACAAAATATGTAGAGTACATCCACTTTATGGTGTATCCTGTGAAGTGCATTGAGACATCCAATTAACCATTGCTCACACAATATCCTCTAGTTCTATAGCAAATGCGAGGAATATTTATTTGTGTATTTGTTTGTTTGTTTGTTTGTTTACTTCATTGTTGCCCCCAGTAAAACGGTTGATGCAGTTGTGAGCTGCATGAAGCTCACTCACTGACTGGCCTAACATGCTCCATTTCCTTCCTTATTTCCAAGATTCAAACATTTCAATTTCCTCTCTGACCACTCAACCAGAATAAATAAATCATGCTCTGAATTCCACTTCAATGACTTTTCTTCAAAGGCTTCACAGAAAGTTTAAACGGTCATATTTTTTAAAAAATTCCTTAAACCTACTTTTACCAACTTCCTCACCATACGCTGCAATGTTACCACCAATGTCTGCTCTTCCATAGTGTCCGTGCAAAGGAAATGCTGCAAATGCCGCTTCCCACACATTGTCCCTATGTATTATGTAAAGGAAATGCCACTGACATCACTGTGTGAAGAAGGTGACGTTAGAGATGACTCCTGCACATCCCAAACATGTGTACCATATAGGAAATGACATATGGTCATATTCTTCAAGTTTTTGATTTCCATTTGATTTCAAATTCGATATTTACAATTCTTATCCTTTATCCTTCGTCAAAAACGTTTTGTCTTTTTAATGTAGTGTCAATTCAGTGATATTTTATCCCATTGCCCCCTATTACTTCTACCAGTACTGTACTGCACTGGCTATCTCTGCAACATAGCAATCAACTGACAGATGTCTGCACAGTAGTCTGCATGCTTTCTCTATCCAATTAACCATTGCTCACACAATACCTCCAGTCCAACAATAACCTTCCTCACACTTTCTCTTCTACCTACAAGAAGAGTAGGTAGAAGAGGTCCAGCTCTGGAAGTCGACTATCTCAGCGCAGGGAGCATCACACAGGAACTGATGTCTGAGGGGGTTTGACACATTGGATATTTTTTCAGATGTACTTCGTTACAATGCAGACCCAGATGACCACTTTAGTATTGGAGAATTTATCAGCTCTATGCTGGCCTTAACATCTTCTCAGTAGGGAAGAAAAAAAATAACCAGGGTTTCCACTCCCAATTGCTGAGAAAACATTGCTGTAAGGTGTGCATGTGTGGAGGACAGAATTGAGTTCATCATCTCCCCCCCCACTCTACCCATGAATTGTTTACCAGTAATATTAAGTTTGAAGCTGGAAGCTCAGCGGGTCTTTTTCCTGTGAAAGACGTCAGCGACTAAAATAGCCAACCTCATGCTGAAAAGGAATTGTTAGGAAAAATATTTTATTAAGGCCAAAAATCTGTAAGGTAGGGAGGGAGTCTTTTACCTAAAAGAATGTTTTATTGAATGGATATTATTTCATCCTTAACACTGCATTACATTTTATTTTCATATTTGTATGTTCATCAGAAGAACCAATTGGCACCAGTTAGGTGACAT